CGGGGCAAGGAGATAATCCGCATCGGAGACTGCGCTGTTTTCCTCTCCGCCGGCCGCCCCAACCTGCCCTACATTGGCCGGATCCAGAGCATGTGGGAATCCTGGGGGAACAACATGGTGGTCCGAGTCAAATGGTTTTATCACCCAGAAGAAACCAACCCTGGGAAGAAGCTCAATGAAGGCAAGGTARGCTGGTCTCCTTTGCTGAGAGGTTTGGAAAGCTCCTTTCTCCATTTTGTTTCCAATGATGAAGAGAATACCTAAGGCCCAGTTTTTTACTGGTACCATCCTTTCATCCTGCAGGGGCTGTCTGTGGTGTGGGCAAGCCTGGTGTTGGCCTCTTGAATGAGGGAGGGGTGGTTTTTTTTGGTACTAGGAAATAAAGATTTCTGTGTTGGTCCATAAATAGGGTCAGGAGTCAGATCAAGTCTTTGAAGTGTCAGAATGATGGGCCTGGTGCTCAAAACCACTGAGTTTTGCATACGTGAGCTGCTGGTTTACAGCAGGATTTATTCCCAGGGGCTGTGGGCAGGGGTTGAAGTTCCAAAGGAKCGTGTGGTGGGTAGGAGGTGATGGCATGGAAAAAACCAACAAATTCACCACCTTTTCATTTCTGTTTCCTCTTYTCTGCTTGGGCACAGCGCTGGGATCAGAAATCGGGCAGGAGTCTGTCCACAGCTTTGCAGGCGTCCAACCAGAGGAAGGACTTTATGGAGGTTGGTGAGGTTGAGGGAAGGCTGGGAGGGAATGCTGGGTACCCTGTAACAAATAAATACTGCCGCAAAATGCCCCCCAAACTTCTCTGGCTCTTGCGCTTTGCCTCGACTACCCAGTCTGCAGTGCCCAGGACTTGGGATGGATATTTTTGGGAGGGTGGGAGTAGCTGCAGGTGCTGGGCATGGGAAGGATTAGGGAGCTGGTATCCAGCACCCATCTTTGCATTTTCATGCTTGAAATGAGGATGAAACTCCTGGCCTCCGTATTTCCCCGTATGTGTGCTCAGCAGGCACAGCATTCCCATCAGTGGGAGCTGGGTGAAAGCCAGGGCTCGGGTTCAGTCCTCAGGATCGTCCAGGCTGTCCATGGGCCTGTGCAGATTCCCAGTGTCCCTCCCCTKGGCTGGCTGTTGGAATGAGGGGGAAGTTCTTGAGTGTGAGCAGAGCCCTCTCCCATTCTGATGGGCGTTTTTCCTACTTTTTGAAGATGATGCTGTAAATGCTGTGCGATCTAATGGCTCCTTTTCTTCCCACCTCCTTCTTTCTGTTTCTATTGTGCAGAGAGCCCTCTACCAGTCCTCTCACGTGGACGAAAATGATGTCCAGACCATCTCACACAAGTGTCTTGTTGTTGGTCTGGATCAATATGAGCAGATGCTAAAGACAAAGAAATACCAAGACAGTGAGGACCTCTACTACCTTGCAGGGACCTACGAGCCCACCACGGGCATGATCTTCAACACTGACGGGGTCCCTGTCATCTGCTGACCGCCCAGGGGACACATGCCAMCCCCTGGGAAGGGACGGGACAAACCTGAGGACGTGCCTGTTCAGACGACATGATTGTTTCTTTCAATGCTCATTTCTGTGTCACACTACAGACAGGAGAGCGCGAGAGACGCGAGGAGGAAGGAGAGGGCTGAAGAAAGGGGTTGGGGAAGCATTTACAGAACTCGAGGAAGATGCCATGGGGCGTGATGGTGGTGCTTGAACCCCAAGGCTCTTCTGGAAGTGGCTTTAAGTAAGGTGACACTTGACCAACTTCTCCCTTCCTCCTTTTGGTCCAGGAAAGCACATGGGTCTCGTGATCATTTCACCAGCGGGACCCCCCCGGCAGGAGGGATCCCTTTTGTGTCATTTTCCCCCATCAATAACTCGGAAGCCGCCCGTGCGTGGAAGGACCCTCTTGTGCCTTCTGCGTGCGCTCCTCTCCGTCCTTATATTCCCTTTCCTGCTTAGTTTCGCATGACCCTTTATAGGAAGGACAGGGTGAAAGAGAAAGGAGATGAGTCTCTCTCAGCGCCTCGTCTCGATCCTCTCAGCGCCTTTTTGCCGTTCCCTTTCCCTGGAGGCCCCTCGGGCAGCGTGTGGAGCACGGCGGGGCAGGGCTGGCCCCAGCACAGAGATGGCAGAAGAGAATCCTCCRGGCTGGGAGGAGCCAGCTGGAAGAGGAGCCAACATCGGGTTTGGAATGCTGCCTTCCCACTGCCTTGAACAAACAGCCTGAGCCYTCTGCAGCTCTGCACCCCTTCTGCCCTGCATCGGCGCTGGAGGGAGCAAGCAGGTGACACGGGGGTGACAYGTGGCAAACTGAGACCTCGTGTTGGCGCATGCAGTGAAGGGGCAGGAAACGACTGGGAAAAGCTGCTGCTCCGTGCTCGGAGAGAAGATCACAGGCCCCTGGATTCCAGCATCCCTCACCCAGCTTTACCCGCCATGCCTTGGCTGAGCTGAGGTACAGCGCTGCTGGGAAGCCTTTGCCCATCGTTTGAAGGGAATGGGGACAGCGTGTGAGCCCGGCTGTGCCTGCCTGCAGCGCTCCCACAGCCAGAGCCCCGCTGCCACCTTGGGCACAGGGACAGCACCGCTCATCTTCCTCCATCCGCGGCGGAGCTGAGCTCCCCTGGGCACACGCCGGACCCTGCTGCTCCAGGGCCAGAGGGAACACCGGAGGAGAACCTGAGGAGAACGACGCACCATCCTTGCACTTAAAACAAAACTCCAAGAGACGCACTGATCTTTGCAACTCCCGCCTCGCACTACGGATCGCTGGGACGCGCAGCGGGGCCCAGGCTCCGCTGGGGAGACGCTTAAGCCAAGGACAGATTGGAAACTCTCCACCCTGGTGCCGGCTGCGTACCAGAGACTGGAGGCCGGGGCAGCCCCGCAGAGTTACCCCTCGTCCTTTAAACAAACCACATGGTGCTGAGCTCGTACCATCTCCACCCCGGGCCACCGGCGCCTCGGCACGGCGGACAGTGACGGTTCTAGCCTGTACAGTTTTAATGTACCAAAAGACTCTTTAGCCCTCCTGTATTATAAGTCTTTAAATGGATTCAACTTTTTAATTATAAATATAAATATAAATATATATATATAAATATAAACTTTTTAAAACTGTGAAAAAAATTATGAAATTATAAAAAACAAAAAAAGAAAAAAACCCACAGCGGCAGAAATGAACACAGTCTGACGTKTAGAATATTATTTTTTATTTCCTGTTGGATTGTGATTGTAAATGATCTGGGAACAGGCACACCCCCCACGCTCAAAGTGTACTGTACTTCTAGAAGCAAATTGTGTGAGCATATTTTAAAGAGCGAGAGAGAGCGCGCGAGAGAGATTTTATGCTAATGTTAAATAGAAAGCACTTAAAACCCACTGCCTTCTATGGAACACAAGGATATTTCAGACAATCGAGAGGAAAGGAGAGCCAGGTTTTTGTCTTTTTGTTTTGTTTTGTTTATGTTTTGTTTAAAACAATTTTTTTGGCATTCTGTTTGTTGGAGAACTCCGTGTGATCTTTTTTCATAAAAAAAAAAATTAATTGAAAAAAAGCAACCCAACGAAGCATCTTTCTTTGTCTCGCTTGTCCTGGCCGCAGGGGTTTTTCTCCTCTTGGTGGCAACGATGGCTTTTTGGCTCAGCCCCTGCCCTGGGGAAAGACAYAACCCAGGTGCCTGGCGGCTTTTTGGGGAGAACCCATCTGTGTGACATGGTGGCACCAGTRGACAGAATGGACACTGGGGCAGAGGTGTGCTGAACAGGGCCTGTGGGCTGGAGGTGTGAGTCTTCCCCCTGCCACCACGCTCATGGCACCGTGTGGTGAGGATGAAATGCTGGATTTGCTCTTTTTGGTGTGAGCTGCACTGCATACAGGCAGGAGTTTGGCATGGCCAGACCTGCCGGTGTGGTGGGGGCTGGGTTGGGGACCAGGCCTGGCATTCCCTGGCTCCTTGAGCCCCATTCCCTGGGTGGTGGCACCTGCCAGCTGGCACAGTGAGGTGCAGCCAGTCCCAAAATGTGGTGTTGGCACTTTGTCCTGCTGCTTTCTGCTCCTCTTGGCCCATTCCCTGTCCTGTGTGCTGCCCATGGCAGTTTGCAGGCTGACAGGGGTTTGGTCTGATTCGGTGACAAGTTCAGCTGCCCCAGKTGACAAAGGAGACCCTGGAGATGGAGAGCAGCACAAGGGGCACCCCAAGACCCAACAGGACAGGCAGCAGGCACAACCCTGCATGTGTTTGCCAGCCCAGCCCATCACAGCATCCAGCTAAGGACCAGCCATCATTGCAAAGACATTTAATTATTTAATCAGCTTCACTTACGTCCTGTGCAATAAACCTTGAAGCTCAGCAGTGGYCTGGGGGTGGCACTGGCAGTGCTGCAGCCTTGGGACCCCCCCTCCCCCTTGCCAGGGCAGATTCACAGTGTGGGGTGGGGGGAGGCAAGACCCTGCTTCTCTCACAGTTAGGGGGGTAAAACAAGACACAGTAAAAAAAMCAAAAACATTTTCCCCAACCGTCAGAACTGAATTGGGACTTTTACACAGCGATTGGCATTATTTAGGGAGGGGTCATGACTTCAAGCCATTCTTGGTGAAAACCTGCAGCACCATCGGTGAAAGTCGAGACCCACCTTCCCAGAGCCACTGGGGACTGAAGGAGTGTTTCCTTCCTCTCTTGCTCCTCTTCTTCCTCACCAGCCCTCCATCACCCTCCTCCCCAGTGCTGGTCCTATTCCCTTTGGGATTTGGCAGTAGTTTCTTCCTCCTGTCAATGGCTTGGCTCAAACAGAAKATCCCCAGCCTTCACTGGAGAGCTGCACATTGCTGATGGGGAGACCCCCAAAAGCAACAAGAACTGTCCCMTGGGGTGGGAGGAATGTCACCCCAAGCCAGTGTGTGGTTGGACAGCATAGGCCGTTTTGGGATGCCATGGCCCTGTGCCAACAAGATCCCAGTCCTTGTCCACCCTGGGGCGGCTTCCTGGCTCCAGGCTCCCTTCCCAAAGAGGGACATGTGGGACAGTGGGACCATGGTGGCAGCAGGTGCCATGGTGTCCCCGCTGCCCCATCCCAGGGCTCAGTACCCTGAGGTGAAGGAGCCGTTGGAGGTCTCGGTGTAGAAGCAGCTGCTGTGGGACGTGCTGGTGAGGCTGTAGGCAAAATAGGCCACGGCCGAGCCCAGCGTCAGGCCCGTCATGTAGGACACRGTCATGGTGTTCCCTGYGGGGAGGGACACGGGCTGTTGGGGTGCTCTGCCTGCACCACGTGGGGTTCCCGGGAGGGCTCGGTCCTACCTGCCAGCTCCCGCTGCTCCGGGCTCACTTTGCCGGCGGCCAGGATCATGGGCACGCTGCCGAAATAGCCGTTGGTGATGCCCATGAGGAGGGAGAAGATGCAGGGCCAGGCGGGGTGGCCGAAGGTGGGCTGCCCATTGGGATAGACGCACATGATGAAGAGGGGGATGAAGACCACGCGGAGGCAGGAGTAGACGAGGAGGTGGGTCCCTCTCCAGTCRTAGGGCAGGGCAGCCAGGATCTGCAGTGAGGGACAGAGACTGTTGGGGTGGAGGAGGCTGGGGAGGGCCATGTGGTGCCCAAAATGGGGCAGGAAGGGAAGGACATGAGGTGGTGGAAAAACCAACCCAACCTTGGCCGTGGCGGTGAGCACCAGCCTCACACTGGTTAGACCCCCGTGGGTGGAGATGACCCTTGGTGGAGCCAAGTGGCTTAGAAAGGACACAAAAGGAGGACAGAMCCCCACTGTGCTGGCCCTGGCCTCTGCCCTACCTTGCCGACRAAGTCGGAGAGGTTGAAGATGGCCATGATGAGGATGGGGAGCCATTCCCCCAGCGTGCAGTTGTGGATCTCCGACTCGAGCCCGGGGAAGAGGCACAGYGTGATGAAGTAGGTCATGGCGATGGAGAGCATGTAGGCCCAGATGAGGCGGGACACRACGTAGCGGTACAGCAGCATGTCTGGCAGGGAGGGGCAGCACAGCTCAGCCAGAACTGCAGCCCTCCCCTCACAGAGCCTGGGAGCCTGGCCTGACCCCAGGGGCGCCTCCCAAAAATGAGCTTGCCCCACAGTTTAGGCACATCATTAGGAAAAGGATCATAGAATGGTTTGGGTTGGAAGGGACCATAAATGTTCATCCAGTTCCAATCCCTGCCATGGGCAGACACCATCCCAGGTTGCTCCAAGTCCCTTCCAATCTGGCCTTAGAACTTCCAGGGATGGGGCAGCCACAGCTTCTCTGGGCACCCTGTGCCMGAGCCTCCCCACCCTCACAGGGAAGAATTTCTTGATAACATCCAATCTAATACCATCCTCTTGTCAGGTTGAAGCCATTCCCTTTGTCCTGCTACTCCATGCCCTTTTCAAAAGTCCCTCTCCAGCCTTGGGGACAATCCTCCCCCAACATTCTGGGTCACCAATCCACCCCGCAAAATGCAGCAAACCCACCCCATGGGCATGGCTTTTGCCCAAGCCCAGCACTCACCTCGGAAGCTGGGCCAGCTCCTCTTGACCTTGGGCCGAGGGACATCGAAGCGCATGTAGGTGCCACTCCCGGCCAGCTCAGCTTCGGGGCCAGGACTGCCCTGCGGGGAGCTCGGCTGCCCCTGCTCCCGGTTCTCCTGGATGAGGGGAGAGGGGCCAGCAGTGCTGAGGGGCAGTGGAAAAGAACCCCAGYGGGGAGCAGCGGGGAAACCCACCCACGGCTTACAAATCGGACGTCCTCGGAGGTGACGTCGTGGTGGACGCGGTAGCCGGTGCCGGGGTCGCCGGCCCCGCGGCTCTCGGGGAGCCCTTTGCGGGCACCGTCCGTGTAGTAGCGCACRAAGCGGGTGCGCTTCACCAGCAGGTGCAGGATGAAGCACGTCAGCTCCATGCCGATGGAGATGAAGAAGAAGATGACRGTGTTCTCCTTCTCGTCGGACAGCAGCAGCTTGGTGAAGATGCGGCTGAGCGAGATGATGACCCCGGCGGTGCCTGGTGGGGTGGGGGAGATGTCAGCGCCGGGCCCCACGGAATCCCGGCTCAGGGATCCCCATCATCCCCCCGATATGGATGTGGTGCTTCCCGGCATGGAGGAGTCACCAGCAGTGATTTTGGGGTGATGAAGCTCCTGGCAGATCCCCATCCCCAGCTTGGTGTGGCGTGCAGGGATTTAAAACCCATAAAACATCCCGGCTTGTTGGGGAGCACCCTGGGGTGTCTGATCTGATGGCAACCCTGATGTGACTCAGAGGGGCCCCAGGAGAAGGTGCCAGCCCCTGTGGAGGGCCGTGGACACGGGCAGAGGATGTGGGTACTCACTCTCGCCTGTCATCACTCCCTGCGTGTAGCGCTTGGGCAGCAGCCCCGTGTAGCCGTAGAAGCTGGATTGCTGCACTTCAGGAGAGAGGCACAGAGGGGAGAAGGAGGGATTATTGCTGCAGCCAAAACTGGGGGAAGGAGCAAGGAACCCCAGTGGGACCCCATGTGCTGTGCCAGCCAGGACCTGCATCCTTCCCGCAGCCTTGCTGCCCAAAAGCAGGAGAGCCTTTTTTCCCTCCCTGGATGCTCCACTGTGTCGAGTGGCCACCAGGTGTGGGGGCTCGGGATGCCACCGTGGTGGCCCAGATCGGTGGTGTTGGTGGCCAGTGCACGGTTTGGTGCCGGTCCCACAGTGCCTGGTCAGACGCGGAGGGGACGGAGCAGGGACAGGAGGGTCATGGGGGTCAGAGTGGGGGACTGTCCCACTCTGGGAGCCCACAGCTCCGGGATGGGGCTGTTTCCCAGCCCTGCCTGCCGTGTCCCAGCCCCAGCTGCTCTCCCACGTACCTGTGCAGCCAAAGGCCACCACCCCGACGGCCACCARGTTGATGGCGTAGGCTTGTCTGCGGCTGAACAGCTCCAGCCACACGTCGCAGATGCTGACAAAGAGCAGGGGCCCCAGGGCGAAGAGGTAGCCTGTGGGGGCAAGACAGGGGTGGTGGCAGGGGGACAGCACGGGGACAGCACTGCCTGAGGTTGTGGGGACCCCACTCACCCACGGAGATCCGCGTGTGCAAACTCAGCAGCTCCACCAGCGCGTTGTTGAGGATGACGGCCACCAAGGCCACCAGGATGTAGGTGAGGCTCATGTCGAAGACAATGGAGGTCCCTGCAGAGAGGCAGGAGATGGGGGGACTRGAGTCCAGCTCCCTTGGAAGTGGGATTGAGCTCCTTCCAGGTTTGGGGTGTCAGGGAAGTGCTGGAACTGCTGCAGACCTACCTGGGTATTTATGGTGCAGGTAATCCACATCGGTGATAAAGCTGTTGTAGGGCAGGAGAAATCCCACCCCAGCCAGCAGCATGGCAAAATAAATCCCATGGTATCGATCCTGGGGCTCGGGATCCTCAGAAACTGCCCCAAAAGAAAGAGAAAAAGATGTGACAGTGACACTGCTGCAYCCCTGGGRCCYGYGTCAGACCCCAGCCTTGGGGCACTGAAAGCTGCTTCTAYAGTCCAGCACCCTGCAGATCTACAAATAAGCAATCCCAACGCTGATAAACTCCTTCCCTAAATAAAAACAATTCATTGGGAGACCCAGGAGGCAGGAAAAAAACTGGGCTTTTGGGGGATGATGAGTTTTAATTGCAGCTAAACAAGATGTGCAGCAGGGCTGGGGTGAATCCCAGGAATCCCTGAGTCCTGTGTGGAGAAAGGTGAAGCTGCAGGCTGRGGGTGAGCCAGGCAGGAGAACCAGGGCACCAACCCTCTGGGCCAGCCTGCAGAGCGCATTGTCACGGGATGTGCTGGGGTACAAAAAGGGATGAAAGGGGAATAGTGGCAACGAAAAGTGGAATTTTGTGGCATTTCAGGCTATTTATGGCTGTTAAACCCATCCCAGGACATGTGTGTGAAAGCAGCAGGGAGCCCAGCTCCTGTCTGTGGTCAGAGGGGCTGTGCCTGGCCTCACCTGGCTCCATGAAGGTCAGCACCCCCTTGGCCTGGCTGCCCCGCTGCAGCTCGTCCTCCTCCAGCTGGTAGCTGTCGAAGCTGAAGCTCATCACCACGTTCCCCTCCGGCGTGGCCGCCGGGCTCAGCTCCTTGAAGCGTTCGGCTCCCACCGAGCCCATCCTGGCCAGCCTGGGAGGGATGGAGAGTGGTGACACCCTGGGGACACAGCTGGGGCCTGGCTCCCGTGTCCCCCTGGGTGATGCCAGGGGTCTGCAAGGGACAATGGCACGTGGAGGGCACGGAGCCTTCACCTCCTCGCTCTATCACAGCGGCTCTGATGGTTTTTCCACCTGGAAAGATCATTTCCCTGAGGAGAGTGGGATCCACCGACCTTCTGGGATGAAGTTTGGCTTTGGGGTGGGGAGCAGCGCTTGTGGGGGACCCACAGGAGCCACAGCCTGGCTCAGCACCTCGCCGGGATGCTGCCACTGTGATTTCCAAAAGCAATCAGAGAAATGAATGGATGAAAAGCWCTCAGGGCTGCGGGGAAGATCCCGGCTGTCTCGGGAAGCCCTCGCTCCCTGCAGGCAGCACATTTGCTCTGCTTTGTGCCCTTTTCAGCGTCTCTGGTGCCTGGAGCTGAGGCAAAGCCACTGGCCTGGGCACAGTCCTGCAGCTTTTCAGGGAGGGGAGGGGATGRGACCCTGCTTCTATCAGATCTGCTGCTCTGAGGGATCACAGCCCAGCACGGAGCTGCTCAGAGCTGACAGAGAGACCCAAGCATCGTGTCTGAGATGGTCCACACTGAATGCACCCCAAAATGAGCTCTCCAAACACCTCACATCCTCCACTGACCCCACCAGAGCCACCCCAAACAGGGTTCATCCCTCAGGCCTCCCCAGCCAGGGGGCTGCTCTGAATTCCTTGTGCCAGTTGCTCGATGCCAACCTGCCCCCAGCCCACCTCCTGCACATCTCCCTGGCATCTAGGGGTGGTGGTGGAAAAAATCTCCTCCGAGGCAGCAGATTGAGTCAGGCAAGGGAGGAAAAATCAATGACAGTGATTTCTTTGGTCTCCCTGCCAGACATGGCGTTTGCAGGAGCAGAGAGGTTTTCCAGCTGCCAGGATGTGTGGGATGCTGGAGGGCCCTGAGGCAGGGGGCAAACGTGGTGCCCACAGACCCTGTGAGTGAATTCTTGAAGCCTAAAATGCTTCTCCTACAGCAGGGATGGGTGCACAGGGCAGCACTGCCACGGCCCTGAGGCTGCACCGAGGTGACAGCACTGTTGGGGGATGGGATGGGGTTCCCTTCCTGCACCGTGCTGGGGTTCACCCCAAAACCCCCATCCCAGAGCCCCGGGGGCAGAACAAGGCAGCAGGCTTGTTGGGGACACCGCTCCATGCCGTTGCTCCCACGGGAGCTCTCTGCAATCCCTTCACCCAGCGCCTTCCTGCGCCTGCTGCCCCCCAGGCAATAAACCCCTGGGGGAAGCATCTCCCGGGATGCCAGAAAGCCTGTTGCCAGGTTCTTCCCTCGCAGGAATCCCAGCCGGAGGACGCACCAGCTGGAAAAGCCTCGTACGCACTGCGTGTGGCCCAAAGTTCCCGGGGCCAGGAGCGGAGCGGGATGCGCACAGCCGCGGCGCTGGACCAGCCTCCGGCGCTCTCCGCCTCGYTCCCCCGAGCATCCCTGCGCCGCCGTAAATTGGATTTTCCCCTCCCGATGGATTTACATACGTCTGCCCCTATGGGTTTACACCCTGTGGCCCCAGGGTGGGAGCGGGGGCGTTTCTCCATGGCGGGAAGGGATGGGGGGGGTCTCACCCGAGAGGAGCCCTCACCCCCTGCCCCCGGCTCTGCGCGACCCCCGGGCACCGCAGCCCCGCTCTGCTCGGGCACAAAAGCGCTTTCTGCTCTGCCCAAAGGCTCCCCGACATCTTGCCGGCGGCGAAGTTGCCATGAACGGGGGGATTCGGTAACCCGCGTCCCCGCTCTGCGGGAGAAGCTGCTGGCCGGGGGGAGGCGGGGATCGCGGCTCCGGCCGCGCCCGGAGGATGCTCGGAGGGGCCGGGGAAGATGCTCCGTGGGGCCGGGGCGGGCAGGGGCTCGGGGCGGCGGCTTTCTCTCCTCTCCCCCCGCTCCCCGGCGCTCCCGGCCGAGCCCAACAGGTCGCGGCCGTTCTTACCTCGCTCCGCCGCGGCGGCTCTGCGGCACCAGCGCTGGCCCGCCCCGCTCAGCCCCGGCGGCCGCCGGCCCCCGGCCCCGCCATACCGGAGCGTCCGCCGGGAGGGGGCCGGCACCGAGTGCTGCGGCGGCGGCGGCGCGCAGCGGGGGCGGCCCTGGCTCTGCCTCCCCCCGGCTCTGCCTCCCCCCGGCTCTGCCTCCCCCCGTTCTGCCTCCCC